TCGCGGGGTCCCTATTCCTGGCCCTGATCAACGGCTTCACCTGCTTTTTCCCGTCCGAGTGGTCCGCTAGTACCTTCTTCACCGCGTATATCGGCATCCCAGCCTTCTTGGTCCTGTATCTGGGTCATCGGGCCATGTTCTGGTCTGATCCATGGGCGTGGAGACCGGAAGATGTGGATCTGAATACCGGGTTGGCGGAGATCGTGGCGGCTGAGAAACCGCCCCGGGTGAGGGATACGTGGTGGAAGAAGGTGATGGTTTTGGTGGAGTGATCTTCTTTCCTTTTCCCCTCTCCCTCCCTCCTCTTGTTCTGTCTGATTTCATTTTTTGGATGGTGGGGTTTCTCTGCTTTCTTGTCGTAGAAACTGGGTTGTAGGGTGTGAGTATGGTGATGGGAGGATGGGTACCTACCTACCTAGTGATAGTATCGACACCACCCGTGCCGATGACGTATCCCAGGGCGACATAATCACATGACCAACCCTCAAACTCTAAAAAACCACAACTCTCGTCGGACATTTTGGGAGTGGTCGGATGGAAAATAACAGAATTTGTATGGACACGGAACCCTGTTCGCGTCTGCCACCACCAAAACACTATTCTAAACTATAAAAATATCGCGGTAGAGACACATCGTGGAGAGGTATTTAAATTTGTTTTTATAATTAGATTATCGGCATTTTTGGGACGATGAGGGGGGAAAGAATAGAGATAGGGCTGGTTTGTTTGGGGGTCAGGGAGGGAGGTTTTGGAGGTCGAGGCGGTCGAGGCGGTCCGGCTGGTTGGGCGGTCTGAATTTTCAGTCAGGGGTTCCACTGGGTTTGTTGATTCTGCCGGTTATAATATCTACCTTCTCTATGGTAGTACAGACAAGGATAATTGGGAAGGGTGTGATCTTCTGTGGGTTCAAAAGAATAAACTTGGACACTTTCTATAGATGGAATCCCATTCAATTAAGACGCAGAATAAAGATATTGATACTGTATACAGGAAACAAATGTAGACTATACTAAATACAAAAAAGGGTATGAATAGACGGGGTAATGAATAGAACCAAGTTAACAAGGCAACTCAACCAGCAAACGTATAATGATTGCTTCCCCACTCGCCCATATCCCCAAAGTTGACCACCATGACCCGGCCTCCCCTCTGGCGTCCCTCCAGCTCCAACCGTCGCAACGTATCCACCTCCTCAGCCGTCAGGACATTCCCCGCGCGCCGCCGCTCCCACGCGGCCTGGGTCACCACGGGCGCAACATCCTTCGCGACCTCGGCCTCGCTGCGCCCCTGCGCGAACGTCTTATTGTTGGCCCCGGACGGGCGCGAGAACCGCCACTCAGACTCCACGACGCGGTATTTGCGCTCCAGCAGCCACAGCACCGGCCACGTGAGGACCCACAGCTGCAGCAGGAGACAGCCGTAGAAGATCCAGGGGTTGTTGCGCGCCCGGTTGATCCAGTGCGGCGAGTACACGGTGAACGACTGGTTGGCGATCGAGGTCGACACTTCGGTTTTTCCGCGGTAGTTGAGCGCCCGGAGGTGCGATTTCAGCCCCGACCGGATGATATCGGAGTCCAGGCCGGAGACGGATCGGGTGAATGTGAACCTATTGACAGAGTTAGTCTTCATGGGTGTTCAAGGGGTAAACAAGGTAGGAAGAACATACGACTTCACCGGCGCAGGATCCTCGCAGAATCGATCACACCAACCGATCAACCCGGGACTCCCCCGTCCCAGTCCCTCCTCAGCGTCTCCTCCTCGACCCTCCTCCGATCCTCTCACCAAACCAACATTCTCCTCGTCCGCTTCCTCCTGACTATTCAACCGGATCGCTCCCCGCTGCTTCTTCTTCCCACAACAACCATGTCCCTTCCACCGTCTCGACGGAAACGCTCCCCCGCGATACCGCTTCACGCCGTCACCATCCCGAGCCACCTTCAACTCATGCCATCCGTCCTCGTCGCGATCCCCGCGCGGCCCAGACCCCACCACATACGGCGACAGGTCAATCTTGAAGTGGAAGTCCGTGATGTTGCGGCTGCGGTGTTTCCGCCCGTGGTTCTCGGAGCGCGTCACAGTGTGAGTGCCTTTGATAGTCAGGACCGGACGAGCAGGGACGTCGGCCTGGCGAGCGACGAGCGCGTGGAGGGCCGACGGGTCGGCGCTGAGATCTGGTTCGAGGGTCACCTGGTTAGAGGCGCGGGTGTTGGCGTTGATGCTGAGGTAGGGCTGTTCGGAGGGGATGGGAGGAGCGAGGATGGGGGATTCATAGTAGCTGTTCGTGGCAGCGGAGGAGGGTTGGACGATGGCTTGTTCGTAGCTGGGAGGGGGGAGCTCGTCTCCGTCTCCGGGGATGGGGTTCTGGGGTGGTTTTCCCATAATTGTTTTGATATTGATAGACGTTTTTTGTTTTTTTGGGGCTTTTTTTTCTTGGTTGAATTATTGACAACTGACAAGAGAATGAAAAGGAGAGACGATAAAAGGAGATGTGCAGCCTGGTCTGACGGACTTTCCTGTCAGGTGCTGCTTACTAGACGAGAAGGGAAATGCACCAGGCTGAAACGGATCCTTTGGCCCCCATTCGATCACTACACTAACTCTCCTCCTAGGCTGCCACTATATACACGATACAAGTACTCAGTCATAACTACTAATTTATAGCTTTCCGATCGCCGCCACGTGATCCGTCACCAAACACTTGAACTCGTCCGATCCATAATAGAACGTGTTGCCGTCGTCCGGCGACTGACCCGAGCTGAGCGTGTCGCCGTACTGCCAGTACAGATCCGCCGACACGGCCGTCGTGTTCAGCGCTGTCTCCTGCCACGGCTTCTCCAGGCTGCAGTGGTTCGACGTGACGCCGTATTCCTCGAACAGACACGGCTTTCCGGCCGCCTTGCACGCCGCTCCGTGCGAGCTGACCCAGCCGTTGCCCCACGGGTTGGAGACGCTCCCTGCATCGTGCGGTCAGCTTACAACTCTATAGGATTGGTTTAGAAGGGGAGGGCAGGCAGGCTTACAGCTATCCGGGTACAGATGGAAGGTGCCAAAGTCAATGGTCGGGATGGCCAGGTTCTTCGCAAAGTCCGATCCCTCCGAGTACTGGTAGGGGTAGCTACCGTCCGACTGAATGTCGAGACCGAATCCCTCTGCTCGAGTTAGCTCCCTTTCAACAGGTCATCAGATCGGAAAGATCACCCACCATCACCAATGCAGACCATGTGCTGCGAATCCAACGACTTGATATACTTGCTCGTGCTCTCGATCCAGTCATACAGCACGGTCGTATTGCAACCCTGGCAACGGGGCTCGTTGGCCAACTCCCAGGCAAAGACCGCCGCGGAGTCCGAGTACCGTGACACAACAGCCTTGATGTACGCACGGTACGCCGACTGCATCTCGTCGCTGGCGTAGAACTTGACCTTATCAGATCCGCCGCCGTACGCCTTCAGATAGGAGCTGATACCACCGTAGTCGTCCCAGAAGTTGACGAAGTTGATGATCAGCTTGATGCCGTGCTTCTCGGCGGACGCGACCACCACGTCCAACCGCTCCAGGCCGTCCGCGCCCGTGTTGATCGTCGACTTGCCGTCGGCGTGCTTCTGGTACCACACGGTGCCCTCCTGCGGCGTCTCGTTCACGTCGTTGAATCCCCACACGCGCAGGATCTTGAGCCCGGATTCCTTCATGTGCGAGAACACCAGGTCCACGTCGTCGTCGTTGGTCAGGAACCCGATCCAGTACGAGTTGGACCCCGCGAAGTAGCCCGTCTCGCCGTCGATGGTGAACTGCAGGCCCGAGGTCGAGGCGAAAGCGCCGGGGGGGGCGGACGGGGACGGGACTACGCTGGACGAGGAGGCCTGGGGAAGGGCCGTAGCCAAGTGGGCCGACACCAGGCCGGCGAGGGTGACGAAGGAGTGTGAGAGCTTCATGATGAGGGGGAAGGAGAGTGTGAGTGAAACCTGCTAGACGGAGAGAGTCGTACTGGAACATGGGGACTTTATAAACCCAGCCTGAGTAGCTCAGTAGCTTAACCGTTCTCCATACTCCATACTCTGTAGGATGTACCAACGGAGGATGGCCTGACGGACAAGCCTCCGTATTAGATTGGGTAATTTCTGTCGCTGGCAGATGGATGGACGTCTTGGGCACGGAGGGACAGACTGGAACAGACTGGAACAGGACTAGATCATCTCCGGGTCCAGAAGGGAGGGCGATCGTCAGGGCAATTAATTAATTCGGTTCTGCAGCGGTTTTGTCCGTGCTGGATGGGGAATGGCCGCCAGGCTGAAACTCCGAGTGGTGGATTCATGATTCAGCAGGGTGGAGTGTTTCGAATGAATTAGTGGGTGGTTTGGTTTGGTTTGACTGAGTACTCTGTACGGAGTACGAAGTAGGTTATGGGGTAGTAGATGATGTAGCGTTGTTATCTATGAGTTTGGCATTAAACGCTGAAGGCAGGCGAACTGTCATACCAGGTATGTTCATTTAAGTTATTAATAACTAGGCCTAGATCTATATTATTGCACCGATGGTTCCCACACTTGACACGACAACATATCGAATGCACCAAGCAGGTAGCCAACAGACCCGTCTCTAATAGACTCCAGAGTATTCTAATGTCATTAATTGCTATCTGCCAGAAATTCTCATCATCTAAATCCCCACATCTAGTCCATCCCACTCACACTTCTACAGAAATACATCCAAACATAAACATTTTAGCGCCTATCAATCAGGCAAGTCTTGTCTTGATTGTCTTGATTTCTTCCAAGTACAAATCTCTATCGTCATCATCGTCATCTCATCTTATCATCTCAAAACCACAACCGCCATCAAACGCCTAGATACACACACTGTACAACCCACCAACCAACCAACCCAAGAATCCTCATAATACATCCACCACCAGTCGCTCAAACCAATCCGAACCGATCCAAATCACAAAAACACCAACCCAACCGCCTCCCTCATCCAAAAAATGAACGAGAGATCCAAACTTAAGCCGGCAACTTACCCGCCTTCTTCGCCATAAACGTGGCAATCAAATCCATCAAAGGCGGCGACAACGCGTCATACGTCTCCAGCCCAACACTCTTGAACTTCCCGCGGACCTCATCCATGCCATTCGGATTGAATCCCTGCTCAATAATCGAGCTGACGAACCCAGCAAACTGGGGTTCCTGCCACCCCTTCTCATCCGAAAGCTCGGCATGCACGAAATCCAATCCCTTAAAGGGATGTTCCTTCTCGATGCGTCCGATCAGATGAACCCCGCAGCTCGTGCAGGCATGACGCTGGATCGCGGCCTCGGGGTCCACGATCTTGAGTTTGTGGCCGTTGGCGGTCACGGAGACGGCGTCGCGAGGGACCACGCCGACGATGGAGAACAGGGCGCCGGAGGGCTTCCAGCACTTGGAGCAGCCGCAGGCGTGGTTGTGGGCGACGTTGCTGGCGAGCTTCACGGTGACGCGGTCAGAGGCGCATTTGCAGTGGAGGGAGCCGCCGGGGAAATTGGGATTGCCTTTGGTGAGGCCGTTGTCGATGAGGGGATGCAGGGAGGGGGCCATTTTGGATGTTTTTGGTTTCTGGTAGATATTGTATAGAGGGAGAGAATTTGAGGACGACGGTGTAGAATATGTAGATGGTAGAAATATAGGATAGGATAAGATAGACAGACAGAAGGACGGATGGAGCCAGTTACTTATATAACCGGAATCCACAATCGCGATCCTAATCTTTTATCCCCAGACCAGACCCCTCACTCCTGGCTAGTACGATAGTACAGTACAGTAGTGCTAGTATTTGATTCCCCTCACGCGGGGAATCTCCACCTATGTCGCAATGTCCCCGGGACGCGATTACTCGACTGGTATATTGCTTCCGGGTCTGGATCGTTTACCTGCTTCGGGGAGCTGTCCGACAGGCTGCACGGTCTGGGTTATGGCGTTATTGGAGATCACAGTATGAGGATTTTTGTCTTATCTGCAGATATGATCACTCTAGTCTTGGTCTACGATGTACATGTATGAGATTCATAGATTCTCGTGATAATAATTCTGGTCATGTCGTTAATCATCTGCTCTATCTGCAATCGCAATACATCTACATCTACTCCAACACCTTTTACAACGTAGTATCCACCACGCACCGCACGCAATCCCCCTGCTTCATCTGCTCGAATGCCGTGTTGATGTTGCTGAGGGTCTCGCGGTGGGTGATGAACTCGTCCACCTTCAGATCCCCGTTCAGATAGTCCGCCACCAGTCCCGGTAGTTGTGTCCGTCCTTTCACGCCCCCGAATGCGCATCCTTTCCATTGGCGACCAGTCACTAGCTGGAAGGCTGTTCGTGGTCATCGTTAGTCCCAGTGCCCCATTGACACGAAGTAAAGATAAGGGGAAAAACTCACGTCGAGTGCTAATCTCCTGACCCGCCGCCGCAACCCCGATGACAATACTCTCGCCCCAGCCCTTGTGGCACGCTTCCAGCGCCGCCCGCATGACACTGACATTGCCAGTGCAGTCAAACGTATAATCGCATCCCCCATCCGTCATATCAATCAACTTCTCGGTGATATTCTTGCGGCCCAATTTCGTGGGATTCACGAAATGCGTCGCCCCGAACTTATACACCCACGGCGCCTTGTCGTCATTCAAATCCACCGCGATGATCATGCCCGCTTTATTCTTCACCGCGCCCTGAATCACAGACAGGCCCACGCATCCGGCCCCGAATACCGCGACACTCGACCCCTCCTCCACCTTCGCCGTCACCGTCGCAGCGCCGTATCCCGTCGTGATCCCGCATCCGAGAAGACATGCGCGGTCGGTGGGACAGGCAGGCGTGTACGCGACCACCGAAATATCAGCGACAACGGTATACTGCGAGAAGGTCGAGCAGCCCATGAAATGGAGGAGATCTTTGCCGCGGGCCCGGAACCGAGACGTCCCGTCGGGCATCACGCCGCGACCTTGCGTGGCGCGGATCTGTCCGCAGAGGTTGGTTTTGCCGGATTTGCAGAACTTGCACTGTTTACATTCCGGGGTGCTGGTGCGGTGCCCTAATTAGTTCGGTCCGGGCTGGGGAGGAGAGGGAGGAGAGAAAACTTACTACAGCGCGATGACGTGGTCGCCCACTTCAACATTGGTCACATCTGGACCGACGGATTCGACAATGCCGGCGCCTTCGTGGCCGAGCACCACAGGAAACGCGCCTTCGGGATCCTTACCGGAGAGGGTGTATGCGTCTTCGGGTCGAATGTCAATAATTATAGTTCATCTGCAGTACCTGACCGGACAGCTTACCGGTATGACAAACACCCGTGTGGAGGACTTTGATGCGCACTTCATGGGCCCTGGGTGCGGCGACTTCCACGTCCTCTACCGAGAGCGGCTGTTCGGCCGCCCAGGCAATTGCAGCCTGAGGTTGTATTTAGCGTCAACGACTTAATGTGTATGCGGATGTGTATACTAGAGAATCTGTCGTACCTTGCAAGTGATGGTCTAGTATAGTCTCGTTAGCAAATACCATCTAAAACGGAGCATACTCAGATAAATAAAATAACGACATACCTTTCCAGCAGTCGCAGCCATTCCTTATCCCGTAAATATAACACAAATTGATCGATACTAGGTAATCAGACGAGAGAGCAAAAAGAGGGGAAACGAATTTCGACCGTGGAGCATGTTGTATATGCTAGGCTTTTATACCCTGACCCCAATTGACAAGTCAACCCGCGTGAGGAGATGCCACGAACGGAAGAGAAGAAAATCCTTACGTAGACGCCAAGCTGGTGAGGGGTGAGGAGAAAGCAAAAGCTGTGCGCGCACCGAAACAAAAAGACGGTCCGTGTATGGGAAGAATTAGTCCGGGGCTGTTATCGCGATGGATGCTGCCAGCATTCAGGTCCAGTGATCGGGAGCCCTTCCGATCAGGTGGGCCCGGCCACCCGGTCCGTCCCTCCGTAGTCTTCTCTCACTTCTCAGCTTAACTCGGCCGATACCGCTGTCTGGTGTTCAGAGACGATCTCATTTTATGGAAGTTGAGATATGGATGGACATCGCAGCAAGGACGGGGTTGTCCAGGTTGTCCAGGTTGTCCTTAAGCCTGAGGCCAAAACCTCACTGACTAGTGTAAGAATGAGTGACCTCAGGCCAAGTCCCCAACACCGAATGGGAAACCCACCTGTGCACGGACTACCACATACAAAAACCGTCCCCTCTGAGCAATTTTCGGACAGCTCAACGTTTTCACGCACGATTTCAGGCCGAATGTTGTCGGGGTATACATGTAGGAAGGTATATGGTCTGTGTTGACAGGTGATTCGGTGTGGGTGTGTGTCCCCCGGGGGCTTATCGGCCCTGTGGCGTCCCCCAATTATCGCCCCTCTTCCCTGTTAGAAGGGCTGCCTCTCCATGGCCCATCGCGCACATGTCCAGTGGGCCCCGCTCGATTTTGTGGAGGTAGTTAACCACCGGAGCCCCTGTTCTAGGGGTGATGGCGACCGAAGACCGGGTGCTCCTGAGTGCCCGGCGCTGAAGCGGACAGTTCTTGTCCTACATTCTGATCCCACAGGTAGTACAGTAGGGGTAATGCTGCTAACTCATCTAATATCTCATGAGTGTCCGACGTTAAGCATCACCATTTATATATCTCTAACTAGAGACTATAGAGGAGTGCAGATTCGAGCTCGTTACCTATATCCCTGCAGATACTCCCTTGATTCTAGCGGTAAAATCGGAACCCCAGGGTACTCTACAAGATTATAAATAATCGCTGTCAACACTCAGTTGTATTTCGCTCATGAAACCTGAACTATACGGCCGCACATTACTTTATTATGATGTACCTGTAGGGCTCATGCCATATAAGCTATAGTGTATTTACTAAGTACAGACAGCTCGCGAGCTATAACTATATCAACGGCCACTGCGGCCTATATGATACTGCGATAAAAGACGAAACTATAATATTAACCGTTTTAAACGAATTCTAACCTCCGCTATATCGAGCAGCTCCTGGGAAGATCCTTCTCGTTAAACCGATAGACCATGTCTTAAATATATAGATCGGGTTATTAAAATGTTTTAAAGGTTCCCATAAGCAAAGGCCTATCGCTGGTTTGCCAGAGCGTGAGTTTCAAGTTGGGCTCGATCAGATGCTTATCTTAGATAGGGATATAGTGATTCAATGGCCTAAAGCAGGAGGTGGGATTTTTGTCCTGCAGGGAATTATCAAGAATGCCAGTTAGATAACTAGTTGTAGGGTTCAGTTATAGTTCCTTCAGCGCTCATAGTAATGAGCTGCTATGCTGGACTTAGCTACTAGTACAGAGTATAAATCGGGTATCATTTTTATATAGAGCACTATATAGACTTCTCATTCGACCCTACCCCGTAACTCATAACTTTTTTTGGATTAGTGTTACTGGGGAGTGCAGATTAGAAAGGGCAGTGAACTCCTTTTGAAAATATATAGAGACATGCTAGGATAGGGGAGAGCGCTAGCAGTAGGTGTTCTAGGGGCTACATGCATCACAGTAACCAGATTGATACTAAAATGAATGGAAGGATGCTGTGATCAATACTGAATTAACTGATTGATGTAGGAAGAAAAACGAGGTCTTTTTGCCTTGACTTATTGCCTCAGGCATCAAAACATCAATACTAGCGTTGATACAGGATAAATGTTTCCCCGGTAATATAACATTGGGAGAACAGTTTATCCGGTGATGGTGGATAACTTTTTTTCGTGAAATGATAATTCACGAAAAAAGAGTCAGGGAATTATTGATTATTTTTTTGCTTGGCGGATGATTCTGATTCCTGTTTTTGATATTTTCATTAATACCGTCAAGGTCGACCAAGATTTACACCAAAACTGTCTTGGTATTGGATTAATTGAACAAATTTAGGGGTCAACTACCCAGGCTTTGGCCGCAGCACATTGACTTTACCATTATGCTACAGACCAAAAAGGTATAATGAATGACTTACAGGTTTAACGTACTTAATAGTAGGTAAGCTGTCCCCCGGGAACCCCTCTGGGGCCCTGGTACAGACCCTACTCGGGAGTATGTTAGAAGTCACGCTCATGGTCTTTGCAGGGCCCCTTAGGGAAGGACCGATATGCAATACACAATGATATAAATACGCGGGGATATGGAAGGCCAGCATTTAGGTAGTTTCTGTATAGTGTGGTCTATAATATAGTAGTCCCGTATTGGGTGTAGCTGGGGGGAGAAAGAGGCCTTTCCTGTTAAGTTTAGGACTGTTAGACTTCTGTGCCGGCCCCTAGTAACGGCCGGCGTGACCGCCTTCGTCCAACGTTGTTTATCGCTTCCATCAATTCAGGATAATCCAGGCAATTGTTGGAGTCAGAGCCACTGACCTTCCAGCTCGTTAATAATTTATAGGTATCTCTTTTGACGCGTCCCCTCCTCAAAGGACCCGCCGGATGTTATCTAACCCCCAATAAAGCTACCCCTGGTTCCACTGTCTGCAGCGCAGAAAATGCAAGATCTATAGGCACAATGAGTCGCTATCTAACCCCGTCTAAAATCGCCCTACTGTGTCTCGTCTCCATCTACACCGAAGGAGTCGTGCCCAATTCATCCGCTATCCATGTTCTCTCCTTCCTGGTGTCCTGTCTGAGTCCTCTGGACGCGAGCAATCCGCATTCCACGTTCTCGGGCCCAGATAAAAAACAATCCTCTTCCGTGTCCATTGCCGACCTCGAAAAGGCCCTCTCGGCCCAGACCTCATCCATCCCAGGTCGCTCCGTGTGGGATCTCTTTTTGCGCAAGATCTGGTCTATCGATTCGTGCGATGCCCTGGAAGTCTTCTTTTCCGATGTTTCAGACATCTTGGTTAAGACGCGCGACGAGCAGCTGCGGGACCGCGATAGTGATCTAGCGCCGGAATCGGGCGTGATGCGGCTGTCGCGAAATTCGCCATTAGGTGTATTTGTGCGACGCGCTCAGTTGGAATTCACAAGATTGCAATTTCATGATTCCGTCCGGCTGTGGAAGGGATTTGTTAAATACCGATTGCTGACGTATCGGGCGTGGGCAAGGAGGAATCCTGCCGAAGAACAGGCTACAGTCGATATTAATCTTCTTGAACTAGGACTCGATGCTAATAGCCCCCTTGCGAGAGTCGCGTATGGGAATATTAAAGATGACAAAGAGAATGGAGAACAGTACGTTAGTACAAAAGATATAGAACGCTTGTTGGAATTTCAGATTGAAGAGTTGCAAAGTACGTGAGACAGGCCTTTTTTCGTGTTAGATTTCTAACAATCACAGGACTGGGAGGGAGGGTCCCCGACGGCATGAAGATAACGCTAGAACAAATTATCAAGTCTGGCGTGACACTACCGAACCTGGTATATTATCTACGGTAGGTTTTCTTTCCCCACAAGCAGAATAGGCAGGGCATTAACAAATCTAGATTTCTTGATGCTTGGAGGGCTGGGGACTACCCGTCCTCCTTTGACAATCTTCATCGTTACTTCGATTACACGATGCACAGTCGGGACCGCAGCTCGTACCAGTACGCCTTGCTGAACCTGGCAATCCTCCAGGCCGATTTCGGGTGCTACAGTGAGGCAGTCTTTGCGATGCAGGAAGCCGTATCTATCGCTCGCGAGTCTCACGATATGAACTGCTTGAACTTTTGCATGAGCTGGCTGTATCATTTCGGCAAGGCGTTCCCCGAGCAGATGAAAGACGTACAGAATACCGGCATGCTAGGTAACGAAAAGGAGGGGCTCGCATTCCTAAAAGCCAAGGCGAAGGAGACCGAGATGTGGAGTTTATTGAGTACGACCTTACTGAGCGAAGCTAAGCTCGAGCTACAAAATGTATATTCTACTTTCCCTCTCGTTCTCTATCTATGGTTCTAACAGCTTCTAGGGCGAATCGCTTTCGTCTTCGATCGAGAATATCGTCCGGGCTTCTCATCTCAACGTCACCAAGAACCTTGTGAACTCGATGGGGCCGCAACTTCTCCTACAGGGCGCGTTATGTTCGCGAATCGGTAGGACTTCTTAAATTGACAGATATGCTACCTTTACTTACTATTTTAGGCGTCTCGCATCTCTCCTGGCTCAGCAACGAGATTTTCCGCGAATGCTACGCTATTCGATCTCCATTTGAAGATTATCTCAAAAGCACATTTCGCAGCTGCCAGCTGGTGTGTCTTCCCCCTACCCCTAGTACCTAACGTTTTCTAACCTCAAATGTAGCTCTCCCAACAAGGCCGGTACAAAGAAGTCTCGACGCTTATGAACCAGGTCGCGCCCGAGAAACTCCGACCCTTAAAAGCCAACCAATACTGGACCTTCTTCTCAGGGCTCCTACAACTAAAACGTCAAGTATACTGGTGCGTCATTCTATTCCTATCCCCTCTCCCAACCCACTTAACATAACATAAAATACCTATACTAATAACCCTTAACAGCGACAACAAAACCGCCTGCACCTCCCTCCTCTCCCAACTCGAAGCCATTCAGCTCCCAGACACTGATATTTTCCTCCTTCTCGCCTTCCAAAAAACCGACTACCTTATCCGCCAAGGCAATTATACCCACGCTCTTTCTCTCGTCGAATCTACCGCCCAGTCTCTCCACTCTGAAAATTTCGATATCAATTCTCAAGTGAAACTCCTCTGTCTGAAGGCTTCTATCCTCGAAAAGACCGGACAGTCACAGCGCGGGTTCTCCCTCGCTATGCGCGCCGCTAGTATTGCCTACCGCGCCCGTCTCCTCCCGGGTCTCTGGGAATCTATTATAGTACTGGCAGCCGTATTGCTTGCACTCAGAGAATTTGAAGCTACTACAGAACTGGTGGAGAGCGTCATGCCGCAGATCTTAGAGTCAAATGATTGCGATCTAGCGGCGAGAGCGTACTCGTTGCTCGTGGATGCAAATATGGGCGTTGCTGGGAAGGTAAGGGCCCGGGGTCAGGAGGCTTCTAATACACATGCGTCAGCGGTAACGAAAAAAGAGTATATGAATCGCGCGCTGGAGTATCTGGACTGTGCGTATAAACAGTTCGAGGAGATCAAGGATATCAAGGGACAGTGCGAGATGATGGCTAAAAAGGCGACAGTCATGCATCTGACAGGAGACTTGATGCTAGCAAATGATTATGCTGCAAAGTACCTGGATTTGCAGAAACAGGGAAGATTTGATGTGTAGCGGTAAGTAAATTTACAATTAGTAATAGTGAAAGTAATGCTGGTGCTGGTACTGTAAATTGCATCGTTACAATATCAAATACGTTTATCAAGTAATCTGGTTACAACCAAACCAAGAGGTAGAAAAATTTAGCCCAACAAAAGAAAAACAAATCAATAAGTTGGATAGTGTGTTCAGATATCTCCATTCATCTGTTGCAATTCCGTCCCCTTATGGTTTCTGTCTCTGAGCCCTTCCCTTCCTTCCAGCACGGCACGGCACCTTCACATCTATCTTCGAAACCCCAGCGATAAAATACATGTGTTTCTGCCCTGGTCAAACAGCCTCGACTATCCGACGGAAAGCCATAATCTTATCCATCAAGGATTCAGATTTAGGTGGCCTTGTCCTTGTTGTGATAGTTGACGGTACTATTCCAGCTGTTAGAGAGTTAGCTTGCCATTCTTAACATCGTTGTAATATTAACTGAGCATGTCGACAGCGCATAAATAGAACTTACAAGATAGTCTAGGCGTACATCGTATAATCAGCATATATTCTCAAAAATCTAGAAGTCCAGATCAATTTACCTTGTCACCGTCTCCCCAGGGATAGTTCTTCACCCGGATGTTCTGGTAGGGGTACTCGGTACGCTCCTCAAGGGGGGGCATGTGGTCCCAGTGATCCCAGTGCTCCTCCCAGAGGTTATAGGCGGTCAGGCTACCCAGGACGAGGGCAGGAATGACAGCACTAGAAGAGTGTAAGTATTATAATCTGCGTAGTCGCTGATCCTTAAGAAAGCATTCAATTGCGTCGGTTTCTGAAGTCAGAAGGGTAGGGATCGTACTAAATAGAGAGCTTGCGCCAGAGGTCTAAATTACGAGTTAATTGCGTCAGCGTATCCAATTCATAGTAAAAACTATCTTTAAGCCTTATTTTAACTCAATCGTACTCAGAAGAGGGAAACATACCACTGGTAGCAGCAGCGTGATGCTGCACAGCCTCGCGCTCGCGATTAAATTCGTTATCTACAGCCCAGGGAAACTTGCTGCTGCCTTCGGTACTGTTAAACCGGCGCTGAACGGTAGAGCGAACAGGAGCAAAACGAGTCTGTTGCGCAGAACGTTGAGCCAAACGAAAGATGTTGCGTTGAGGGAACATGATTGATACAGAGAGAGCAGACGTTATCTGATTGCAGCGGTACAGAAGAAGATCAGGGAAGGAGAGAGAGAAGTGGGATTATGTCGGAGGTTCGCCTTTCCGGCTAACGAAGGTTTAGCGGCCCCGTGATTTCATTCCGTCTGTGCCTATTTGCTCGAGTGGCTTATGTCAGCGTCCTGATGTCAGGTCACATGGTGTCTCGTTCTTTTACCTTATGCTGCGCTCCTGTTTGGGAGTATCCTGCGTCAACACTCAAAGGTGTTTATAAGAATTGGTTATCATCGATTGATTCCTTCAGGTTATGTGTCTTTGGATGTGATTCTTTCGCTATGGGATTTCGTATTACTACCTGGAACGGTAAGCACGTTCCTTTCGTCACACACTATATCTGTATCTAATGTATTGTCATAACAGTCAATGGGATCCGGTATGGTCTTCTCGCGAGATTCGAATCATCGTCATGCTGAGTGTCTAGAAACCCATTCTCCTATGAGCCATGGCGAGGGAAACGCACCTTTGAGGTACCAACTATTGTATTCTCAATCTATCTACCCAAACTAATTGCCGTAGGCCATGTTCGACATTCTCAAGGCCGACATCGTCGTCTTCCAGGAAACCAAGATCCAACCTAAGGATTTGCGAGATGATATGGTTCTAGTACCTGGATGGGACTGCTACTTCAGTCTTCCACGCATCAAAAAAGGTCTGTCCTTCACCTTGCCTGTTTGCCGAAGTCAACTAACTAGGACAGGCTACTCCGGAGTGGTCATTTACACTCGCAATGCAACCTGTTCTCCCATCCGCGCCGAAGAAGGTCTTACTGGTATGCTTTGTCCGCCCAACTCGTCGATTCCGTTCCGAGACCTCCCCGAGGATCAGCAGATTGGGGGATACCCGACTATAGAACAACTTTCTCAGCTCGAGTTAGACGCCACTACGTTAGACTCGGAAGGCCGCTGCATCATCTTAGAATTTCCAGCATTTATTCTTATCGGAATTTATTGTCCGGCTAATCGGGATAAAACGCGTGACTCTTTCCGACATAGCTTTCTGGATCTATTCGATGCGCGCATCCGGAACCTAGTAGCAATGGGCAAACGCGTTTTCGTTACAGGCGACATCAATATCTCCCGAGGGGAGATTGACGCGGCACATGCAGCTGAAGCTATTCGGAAAGGCACAACGACAGACGACGAGTTCGTGTCTGTGCCTGCACGTCGGCTGTTCAATCAGCTGCTGGCCGACGGAAAAGTAATCGGTCCTCGCGATAACAACCGAGAACAGCCCGTTCTGCATGATATTTGTCGCTCGTTTCACCCAGATAGGCAGGGCATGTACACCTGCTGGGAGCAGCGGATCAATGCGCGACCAGGAAATTACGGATCAAGGATCGATTACGTTCTGTCCAGTTTAGACATGCAAGAGTGGTTCTGCGATTCGAATATCCAAGAAGGACTGATGGTAGGTTTTTATCTAATACTAGGTATTAAACTGGCTAACGATAGCAACTAGGGATCTGATCATTGTCCAGTTTACGCTGTCTTTAAAGATTCTGTCCCCCTCGAAGATACCGAGGTCAATATCCGCGATCTCATGAACCCCCCGGGCGTATTCTATCACGGAGAGCGCCAGAGCGAATACTCCACTAAGCTCCTTCTCCCTCTTTCCGGGCGACTGATCCCAGAGTTCAACAAGCGAAGAAACATCAAGGACATGTTTACACAGAAGCCCAGTGCTGTCCCGAAACTTATTACGCCATCAATATTAGCTGCATCTACTGAACCTCCTAACAACACTCTTACAACTTCAGTACCTGACCAATCCCAACAGGCACCAAAAGGTACCGTCCGTAAACGCACTGAAAGACCTGATCTCTCTCCGCCCGTTAAACGCACTAAGTCTATCTTAACATCTACGCCCGCACCACCTACCACGGGCCAGAAAACCCTCAAGGGTTTCTTCAAACCAAAACCAGATTCCTCTAACTCGATTAAGTCCAAGATTACACCTAACCTATCTTCTCTCTCTCAAGCGTCTAAAACTTACCTACCCTCTCAATCACAATCACAACCTTTACCTCAACTATTATCCCAAGACGCTGACTCAACTCCGGACTGCGAAACTGATACGATAATTGACCCTATCACCAGCAAAGAAGACTGGACGAAACTCTTCACTAAGAAACGCCCCCCAGCATGCGAAGGACACCAAGAAGAGTGCATCCGCATGACAACCAAGAAACCGGGAATTAATTGCGGACGGGCGTTCTGGATCTGTCCGAGACCGCTAGGGCCGAGCGGGAATAAAGAGAAGGGGTCGCAGTGGCGGTGTCCGACTTTTATGTGGGCAAGTGATTGGAATCCGTAGAATGTGTTGTTGGTATTGTTGGTATTGGTGTTGGTATTATGTGGATTAGTGGATGGATGGGTGTGATACCCGGATGATATACAAGATGTACCTATAATCTTTAGGGGAATACATTCGAATAATATGGATCCTCCTTTCAGCAAAGAAGGAGAAATACAATTACCGAGGAGGCAGCAAGTTCTATCTACATGCCACTAACACAAGCTAACACAGGCACTTAACAATCTCCCTCCCTCAAGCCAAACAAACCAAGCAACCCAAGAAAGAAAGAAGAAAAATACACAGACGAAAACAGAAAGAGAAAAATAGAGAGACTAGTCCCTAATCCAAAAAAACATCCAACATTACCTTCACCAGCATGGCACTCAGAAAAAGGATTTGGCCCGGCTATAGTCCTCCTGCACCTGCTGGAGCAGGGTGTCGAAAGCCTCGTGGTCGAACTCGAACGGCTGCTCCGGCATGAGCATATCGATACCGGCTAGATTATCGTCCGCAGGCATAGGTATAACCATAATTATCTCTATTTCAGTATATATTCCGGGAGTCGAAGCGTCCGACGCTTCGTTAGCCGACATAAGGGACTTGGGGGATTTGGCGGATAGGCTGATCTTCCTGTGTTGACGCGACGAGGTACGGCATTTTCTTTCGGAGGGCTTGCGAGGGGAGTAGTGGTAGTCCAGGTGCTCGTCAGCGTACTTTCGCTTCAGATCTTCAGCTTGCTGACGGAATTGCATCTTCACTTCCTCGCATTCACTTTCCATTGTTCACTAAGGCTGAAGAATTGTCCCCAGCCAAATACTAGATAGAAGTGGTCTTATCTTTCTTAGAAAACGGTTTCAGGTCCTGCAAGTCCTACATTGTGCCGGGTGAACAATATTAAATAGGCTTGTAACAACACTACCGACCTTTAACATACAGGGGCATGTTCAACTGTATGAGTCTTTTCCTTCACTTCATACACTAACCCGGATATCCTCAGTAAGTAAAATGCATGAAGTTTCATTGGCCATGATCTTGCCTCTTGACAACCTGTGGTTCTGTAACTTGTAAGGTACACACAGAATATGAGTGAATGGGTTGTCGCAGGTCTTAGTGGCAGATAAAGGCACTTCTTTGTCTTACCAGCCTCCCACAGACCCAATCTGGGACATGCAACTTACCTTTGTCTCTGCCGAAAAAACAGTTGAAGACATTTGTTTTATTTTTCAGTCCTTCTTTCCTTTCTGCTTCTTCAACCTCTTTATTCTCCCCAAATCACCCCACACACCATCCCCATCGTCTTCATTGACTCAGCCAGCTTTCCTCTGAACTCGCCTGAAAGATATCAATCCTCACCCTCTTTTCTATCCAGGCCATCCTCTCTTACTCTCAAAATGGATGCTGGAATCCACCCCCTTCAGGCTGCATTCAATGCTTTCCTGATGACAATTCCCCCAAACCATCTCGAGGAACTATTGAAGTACATTCGAGACGCCCGCTCTCCTCAAAACAACCAGTTTGTACGCCGCAATGGAAATAATCGTACTCGTTCTGAGATGACTTCCGACAACCGTCGTGGTGCCGTGGTCCCAGCTGATCCAGAGCCACGTACTCAGCCAGCGCGAGGAAGACGGGCCCCCGAAGGAAGGCGAAGACCTCTCAACAGTTTCATTGCATTTAGAAGTAAGAGGATATAACACTACTCTTTGAAAAAAATCCATGAGCTAATAGAATAAGGCTATTACTCCACCATGTTTCCGGATTTGACTCAGAAGACAAAGTCGGGCATCCTTCGATTCCTGTGGCAAAATGACCAGTTCAAAGCCAAATGGGCAATCCTTGCAAGAGCATACTCTATCGTTCGTGATGATCATGAAGACGAGGTCACTTTGGAAACCTTCCTGGGCCTGAATGCTGGTTTTATTGGCATCATTCCTCCCGGTCGCTACCTTGACGCCATGGGCTGGCAACTTTCAGTTGATGACCAACAGCAATACACCATGGCTCGTGTCGGGAATCCAAATATCAACGAAGTCGACGTAGCAACTAACTATTCTGTTGATGACATTGTCAATAATTGTTATGAAAATGACTATGTCACTGCTGGAAATCGCAGAAATAGGGATGGTCGTGGCCATGCTCCTGTCATGGCATTTGCTGCTCAGCCAAACTTGATCTTCCATCAGAATGATAACATTCAAATCAGTGCCAATGATACCGTTGTTGTCGATGTCGTCCAGTCGAACTTTGGTACGGGATTGATTCCCAATGAGCGTGATGAAGAAATAGCCACTGATGATGGTGATTTGACTGTGACTTCTGACGAGCCTATTGGGTTTTCCATGGAAGATGCTGTCGATCCCGAAAGCATTAACATTCACGGGGCTGGACAAGAGCCGATGGCTCAACCGAATTTCAATCTTGATCTCGACGACTTCAATCTTCCAGACATTTATGAAGATAATTTGTTTCTTTTCGAGCCAACCCTTCGAGGACAGGTGTGTCCGTTCGATCCTGCTTTCAAGGCTTTACAATTCGACAACTTGGCCGACATCTAAGCAACGATTGCGGTTATCTCAACTCATATCACGAAAGATCCTCCTCCCCTGCCTTAACTCCCCAAATAAATTCAAATCTTTTCATTGCACAATATGGCGGTTGTTTCTTTTGATACCACTTACTCCCCACGGCCTCATGAGTATACAGCACGATTACAGTTGTCCAGCATGACAAAGACCTTCATCATGACACGGTCTACGGGAGCATGCCAGCGATGCATAGCGATCAGATTTCTTTTTTTTTATTCTCTCTTCTGCGTTTCTCGGTACAAATGGTTTCTCGCTCCAATTCCTTCAAGTTCTGTGTCTTATTCTTGTTCCCTATTCGCTCGGTGTGCGCATTCGACCCTATCTATCTACAATGCAGCACGTCTTTCTCTGGACCAGCGTGGGATTGTCATCCGACTGACTTGTGTCCCTCAAGACGACGTTCTGACCTCGAGTGTTCATCTGGCAATAGTAATAAGCCCGTAAACATTAGTGTTAAATCAACACTTCTTGCTGTACTCTTACCTTTTTAGGCTTATTTTCTGACTTTTATCTGAGTTTAATTATTTTGTTGTATTTTCTTTATTTTTCGCCTGTTTCCTTATTTTTATTTTCGCTTTTGACGAAATAAGTGTTATTTCGTTTCTAAAATATTTTTCTATTCTTTGATACTGTCGAGCAAAGATATCGTTACAGTACTGTTTCTTCTATACAGGCTGTTTGAAACGATATTATTTAAGTTCGGAACTCAGTACAAATGACAAAACGATCTATCTAGAAGGACAGTCTTGCCAAGCGAAAACTAAAAAACTCGATCTAGAGTTTTTTTCTTTTACTGTTCTGTTCTATTGTCGAGGTCTTTCGGAAATCAAAACTTCTGGTTTTTCTTTGTCTGGGGAAGCAATTTTTTTCACAGGAATTTGTCTCTATCTGGAGAAGAGTTTAACTAGGAAGTTTAAAAGGAAGAATTTATTTCGGGGTACTATTTACTGTATTACTGTTTTCTGTTTTCTGTCTTCTACTTTCTGTCTTCTACATGTGGACGCCCAGAATAGGATTTTTCCAAAGAAGCCACTTTACATACAATAAAAGCGAAGGATGAAGCTCGTAAGGACAGACACAGGCCAGCGAACCTAAAATGTTGATCTAAAAAATTAATACTAAAAAAGGAGGACATATATCTATCTAACTCACATGCCAAACCAATTCAAAAGAGAAAAAAAAAAAACCTTTTTGCATAAACGATTCTCTTTCTTGGCTTCTGAACACTCCGAGGGACCTGACAGATAGACTCGACTGGCTGACGAACTCACGATACAATGCTGGAACCTGGATGTGGCTGACGATGGCTAAGGCCGCGCGCTGAACGGCGTAAGTAAATTTCCTTTGTATTTTACTTTTACCCTCTTCCCTGTCTTTCGTGTGTGTTGATGACCTTCGTCTCGTCCTGTCCTTATCGATTGGATGCTGGGTACTAGTGGGATGCGATACATGGCTCCTATTAAATCTACCGTTATCCTGTATTTGCTTGTTATTCTATCTGTATTTCCGTTCTCGAACAGGCAAATCGAAAAAAATGAACGAACGGAAAAAGAAGCTCGCGTCTAGATTACAGGATCAAGATAAAAAAGGTAAGTTCTTTTTATCTCTTTTTACGTCTCTTTCTCTCTTTCGTGAGCGAATCAGCGAGCGAGTCAGAATCTCTCACGAGTAATTTAACTGACTTTCTCCTTTCTAGATTCTAGAAACGCATATCTCCTCGATCACAAAGCTAGACAGGGTCCTGCTATCCACGCCATCCTATCATATCATATCCAATACCGCATATCCCAGACAACCAGCGACACAAACATCCAGACCAAGCAGAAGATAAACCAATAAACACAGACCCGTCAAGCCAGACAGAACGGACCTTGCAGAAAGACCCTGTCTGTAAGACCAGTATCCGACACGCTAAACCAAAACCAACCTAACAGACCCAAGACTGAGACTCCAAGAACTGCGAACACAACCATACCAAGAACTAAGCTAAGAACAGCCCCCGGCCGAGGAACGTACCAATCAGTCATGGATGGAACCGGCTAACCAGCATGTCTTTCTTCAGCCCCTAGGCCCAAAATAACCTGATCCCCTGATTCTCCCTCTTGTTTAGACTAGTCTAGTCTATCCAGTGTTAGTCCTAGCGTCGAATCGAGGCTGGACCGAGTGTCGAAAGTCAAGGATGCGGGGTCCGGAATTCGAAATCCAGAATTGCGAGTCTCGACTCCGATGCGCATACAACTCGCTATACTACGTTTATCCATCATCCCTGTCTATCTAGTGTCGTACCTGCCTACCTGCCAATCGACTCAGCCTATAAATCTGAATCTCACAGAACAAAGGAACGTACACGAACCAAGTCTCTCGAAGGACCTAGACCGCATCTATCCACCTATCACAAAAACAACAACAACAACAACAACAACAACTACTACTACTACTACTACTACTACTACTACTACTACTACTACTACTACTACTAGGTACTACACATCCATCAAACCCCAAAACAAACCAACCGCAGCCCAGACCAGATAAGTCCACCCCAGAAAATCCCCCAGACCATCCTCAAACCAAACAAGCTACACCCAGTTAGTTAACCCACGGTCACAGTATCTAACTAACCCGGAGACATAGGACACAGAACATAGGTAGAACAAAGAACCACGCAGCCCACCCTGCTTGCGGAAACCAAATCTCCACACTCCACACTCCACACTGTTTTGACCCACGGGACGGAAAACCAAAAGGACGACGACGTCACCACAATCCATCCAAACAAAGAAACAAGATCAACGGTCAACCCTCCGCCAAGATACGGACGGTGACACGGACGGGAACCTGCGGACTTTCTTTCCTTTCTTTCTTTCAATGCGCTTGCAGATATCACTTGTCTAGGTATGCAAGGTACATAGTTCAAGTTATCAAATTGATTTGTTAGATATTCATACTTACATACTTAGAGATGATTCTAGATTCTGGATTCTATCCTACCTATCTACATGTTCCACCATCCATCCCACTTACCTAGTTATTCTACTCTTCAAGTTTCGTTCTACGTACAATTTACAATCTGCCCAGAGACAGGCAATGTAGGACAAGATCCTTTCCTTCAAGACCAACGCACACTTGACGCCGCATTTCTTTCCATTGAAGATCTTATAAAGCCCAGACAGATAGAGAGGTACATACACCGGGTTGAGCTAGATACATAAGTAGAATACTCTCAGCGATGCGAATTAGCCTCCCACCCAAATTCGAGGTCCCGGTCGAAATGCAGGTCGGGATGAGGATCAGGATCAGGGTCAGGATCTATGGATAGATTGGGTTTGGGTCCGGGGGTAGAGTCATTGTCTCTTTCTCTCTCTACATATACATCTTTGCATCATTGGATATCATCTCCACCGTAGTACAAACAGCGTCAGTAGTGCTGACATGTGGCTGTGGCTTAGCTTACACTAAAGTCAACAGACGGGTCTAGTCCTTCTCTTGGCTTCAGTTACTAGACCTATGGACGGACATGGTTCATGCATGTGGGGGGTATGTCGAGGAAGATAGTTCCGATGGTTTTCTCCTGTCTTTCTTTATTTCTCTCTTTCTCTGTATGTCTAGCTGGTCATGGCTCTAAACTAGATCGGAGAACTAGTCCATTCTATATATCCAATGGGGAGTTTCATTCAGCTAGTTAGTTATAGGCGATGGGTACAAGAAGGGAGGAAATGAAATGGAAAGAAAAAAGAAAAGAAATAAAAGGCTAGCTAGATGGATGGATGAGAGGGAGAACTAGGAATATGAAATAGAACAAGACCCTCAAGATAATTGATCGCCTGAGAAAAAGGAAAAGAAAATGAAATGAGAGAGACGGACTGGAAGGCAAGAACAAGAAACACCAAAGGGGGAGGGTATGTGTGAGTGTGCCGGATTATTTCCTCCTGATATCCATCAAATCCATGGACACCAGACCCCCTGACCGAACGGTTCGCCCTTACTCTTCCTGGTACGAAATCTTACGCATCTCACCCAGACGCTGCCGGGCCCGTGCGAGACCATTCTCCAGTTGGAGGATTTCGACCTATCGGTGGCGTTAGACTAACGGTTCCATTCAAAAAAGAAACAAAGAAATGCTCTTCTTCCGGGGACCAATAGGCGACAACATTGAACCCCGGAAAAGCAAAATATTGAAGGGAAAACCTTACCTGCTGCTCCATCTCCTGGACCTTGAACTCGTGCGAGCTTAGCTTGGAATAGTCGACCGCTTCCGTCTCATCCTGGTTCTTCTCCCGAATGATATCCTGCACCTGTCGTACGAGAGCCCGGCACGCCGCCCCCACGGCCTTACTGGCCGTCTCCAGGCGGTCCTGCGTCTTGCTCATGAACGTTGCCTTGACGCGACTGGCCGCCACCAGCTGCGCCGTGCTGGCCGCCACGTCGTTACTGGCCACGATCAACTGCTCCGGCGAGTTGCGCCCGGAGATCACCCCGTCCGCCGTCTCGATCAACGTGTTGGTCGATGTTGCCACGGCCTTTGCAGCCGAGACCAAGCCCTCCGTCCAGCGGTTGTTCTTCTTGTAGAACGCCGTGCGCGACGAGCTACCCCGCCCCTCGCGTACGATCTCCTGCTGCGAGTCGGTGGCGGCCTTGATCAGCTCCGCGATGGCGTTGGTCACCGCGATCGCCGCCTCCAGGATCCAATCGTGGATGCGCAGCTCGTACGTCGAGTATCCGTCACGCGGCTTGTTCTTCAGTTTGGCCAATCGCTGCGCCGCCGCGTCGATGGCATCGGCCGCCTTGAGCAGTTCCTTGTCCACCAGGTCGCCCAGGTCGCCGTTCGTCGTTAGCTTGCTGCTCTTGGGCGCGAACGCCTCCACCTGCTTCGACAGACTCTGCAGGTCCCGCTGCACCTCCAGGTTGTTGTTGATGACCACGTCCGTCTTCTGTAGCGCCTCCAGGCCCTCCAACCGGAACGACTGGAGCCCCCGGAAGAAGCGCACCGTCGCCTGGGCGGACTTGCGCGCACCGTTGGTCAGTAGGTCGGCACTCTTGTCGTCGTTGGCGAACCGAGTCAATCCCTTGGTGTTGCTGAGCACGTCGGCCACCGCCCCCGAGAACACGGAGACGGTCCGAATGATCTCGGCGTGGGTGCTGTTGGGGCCGTCCGCGATGAAATTGTTGAAGGCCGTGGAGAACTCCGTCGCCGAGGCGGACGCCTTTTCGATCTGCGAGAGCACGTAGGGGGGCGAGGCGTTCTGGTTTCCGGCCTGGTTGGAGGAGTCCAGCTCGTAGAGCGCGTCGTCCACACGTTGCACACCGGTCTGGAGCACGGAGTCGATGATGTCGGTGATCTTCGATACTGTGCTGTGCAGAACGGCATCGATCTGGTCGTCCAGTTCGTTGTCGGCATCGCCTTGGTTCTAGTCCAGTTAGCTTTTGGAGAGAAAATAAAATTATTCTTCTATCACAACGTACCAGCTTCAACTCCTCAAGCTCCATCAGAGCCTGTTCCATTCCCGATTTGTAGACCTCAATCTCCTCGTCCTTCTCGCGAAGCGCCACGTCCTGGTCGCCCTGGCGTTCGGAGTTCTTGCTATTATACTCCTCGAGGGCGCGGTTCTTGTTCTAAAGTATTGTCAGCACCAGATATCTCATCATCCCAATCGAATGCTTACCCTCAGCGCTTCTTCCAAGTCCGCCATCTCCCGGTTATACTTCGACAACAAGGTAGAGATCTCCGTGCCCTTGGCGCGTTCGGCGTTTTCGGCCCGCTCGAGCGCAAAGCGAAGCTCGCGCTTGACCTTCTCCACCTCCTCCTTGTTGTTGCCGGTCAGACGATCCCGGTCATGCAGGGCACGGTCTCGTTCGCGGATCATGTCCGCAAGCTCGAGGTTCTTGGTCTTGAGCTCGCGCTCCAGCTTCTCGCGCCGCTCGATCGCCTCGTGCGCCGACGCGGCCTTGATCTTCAGGCTCTTAGTCGTCTGCAGGAGGTCCAGGTGCTCCTGGCGCAGCTGCGAATAAAGCTTGGCCAGGGCTTCGTACTTGGACCGCCAGGTGTTGACTTGCTCCTGCAACGACCGGATCTGGTCGTCTCGGGAGGCGTTCTGCATGTTCAGGTTCGAGGTCAACTGGTTCATCTGCTCCTCCAGGTCCTTCACGCGGCGATCGTATTGCTGCAGCATCAGCTGGTCGCGTTCGAATTGCGCCCTTGCGTTCAGGTTCTCCTGCTCAAGCTCCGCCAGCCGACCCTGGGTCTGAGTGCTGAACTGGTCGCGCAACAGCTGCTCCTGCGCAATCCGGGCCTGCTCGGCCTGGAGACGTTGCTGCTCATCAAAGTCATTCTGAGCTTGCTGCTGCGCCAGGATCTGCTGGCGTTGTTGTTCCTCCCACTGCTGCTGCAGGCGTCGCTGCTCCGCTTCGAACTCCTCCTGCTGGCGCTTGGCCTCGGTGGTCCAGAAGTCGCTGATCGGCTCGGGTTCGGCGGCGACCTTCGGTGGCGGAGTGGGTTCGGCCTCGATCTCCCTGGTAGGTCGCTTGGGTAGAGCCGGCCGTTCTTCGTCGTCGCCAAGCAAGTTGGGAGGGTCCTGGGGCAACTTGGGGATCGTGATCAGGCTGGTCAAGTAGCGCAAGTTCGAGCATTCGTAGTAAAACCGAACCAGGCGGTGATGCTGGGCATCGTAGCGGCCTCGGAGAGGCTCCAGGGCCTCGGCATCGCCAGTCGCTACACAGATCCAACCGTTAGCATCCGAGACCCATCCTCACAGCAATCGTGGTGCGTACTTGTATGCATGGCGCGCAGCATGCTCGTAATGAACTTGTAGATACCATAGCTCTCTTGCACCAGCGGCACCAGCGACGAGATCCGGCACTCGTTGTTCGTTCCCGACTGGAAATGCGAGAAGATCAACTTCTGGAACGCATCGATCTGATCCTGCAGAGTCATGAGGTCGGTAATCGTCTCGTAACTAACCCCCTATTAGCCAAACCAGTTATCCAGCAGAGGCTGGAATAGCACACGTACCCCTCATTCGGATCGTTGATCGTCTTCAAACTAATATACTCCTCGTACTCGAACAGACCTATAACTCCTCAGCAAGTATCCGGCACGTCAAGCACATGGATTTCATACCATTGAACTCGGGATGGTTGCGATGGAACGCCAGCTTGGACTCGAGGAAAAAGACGTATTCGCGAATCAAAGGACCATATCCTATTACCCCAGTCAGCAGTCAACCCCATTATAACCAACACCACAGCCACCGGCTTGTTCCCCTGAACTCCCGCTCGACATACCGCGAATACCATCTCCTCCGACACCGCGCATCAAGCTGTCCACCCAATTGACATGCTGCTGGGCCTCACGAACCACCGCCGGATGTCCCTCCTGCAAAACCTTATGTATTGTGATGAGCGCTTTATAGGTCTGGACTTCGTCGGCGAGGACAGGCTGGCTAGACGATTTTAAACATGGGTCAGCTACCACCAAATCATGCCATTCCAGCAGCCACCTACACTTTCATGCCCGCCCAGAACGCGGCGGAGGACTTGTGGTCCCATGTATACACGATACAGCTCCGAACATGTTTACCTGCGGACGAAACGGAATCAGCGGGCCGTCAATCCAACGGAGACTCGAATCGCGTCGACCAAAACGGAGAGGGAGGGGGGATGGTAGAGCGAGTATTCGGGAAGGGAAGCGCAATGCGTACGTTTGGGAGCGGTTTCCTCTAGAATTGCAAATCAGGGTCAGTTCATAAATCGCGCGAAATTTAACGTCGTCCAACGGGCCATGTGTTTTGACGGGGACACAACTTACCGATACTGGTGGCTTTGCGAATGTTAATCGCCAAATCGGCCTCCGTTCTATCCCCCCGCAAGTCAGTAGTCTATTCCGATGTGTTTGTTTCCCCGGGCGATTCCTCCTCCAGCTGTAGATGCAAACGTACCGACTCATCTTGGCGGCTGCAGGCGAACTCGCTGCCGACGAGGATCAGGGGAGTGTGCGGCGGGAGCCGGTGGACCCGAATATGGACGGCGCAATTCAAGAGAGTCCGAGGAAGAGGACACGGACGGACCGATGAAAGGGAAAGGAGTGGATAGGGAGGAGACACGACAAACGAGAGTAAAGAGAGGCGTGATGGGGAGGGGGGAAAGAGGGAGGAGGAGGGCATGACGTTTGGCGGGAAAGCTGACGCCTGCAGGGCCCATCCAAAGGTCTTGGCACCGCCTCCTGATCGAACGCCCTTTGGGTTCTTTGGGTCGTCATCTCGTTAGGCAGCTGGCTTCGAGCCCACAAATGATCTTGCGTCGTTGCTGGGCTTGCGTCGTCAATCTGCAAAAGCTCCAGTCGCCGATCATGCGAGTATCTGGCACAAATCCCGCACAATTCTCCGGAAAACACGGTGCTCCCTCCAGCGGATTATATAGTTACCGGATCTACATTCTGGGTAGTAACTACAGCATCAATCTACAAGAACCTCAAAAATGGGTAAAATGTCTGAATCTGATTTATCCCATTAGAGCCAATATCGCAATTCTCAAACGCCCGCTCCAAATAAATCTGTCTGTTCTGTCAGGATATCACGGCCAGTTCGCAAAAAGAAAATATTCAAGACGACTAGAACACCGACTTGCCCCTTTCTATATACTCCATAAAGCCTTCAACCCCCACGTCTTTCATCGTCTCCGTCACGGAAGAATCCCATCGGTGGCCGAGAGGATCTCCATGCCATGTTTCCCATGACCTAGCGAGTTATAATCTTCTGTTTCCCGCTCATGTCTCTCGACACTCGGAGCATCGGTCTGCGGCTTCTCCGACGAGGGCGAATGCTCCTTCTTCGGCTCGGGCAGGTCTATTTCGGGAGTCACGTCGACGGCTGGACTATTAGGTGTCGAATCGTAGGGAGCCTCGACAACCAGCAGCTCATCCGGAGCGTTGTCGCCGTCTTCGGGGTTGAACACCGGCTTGCGTCGGGGGGGTAAAGGTGGCTTGGGGACGGGCCTTTTGTGCCCGTTTTCGGTCGACCCGTGCGAGCTGTCGAGATGTACAGGTTTGCGCTTCGGCGCTGCAGAGGTATTCCTCTTGAAGGCAAACCTCGCGGGGGGTGGCAGCGGAGTTCCTGGAGGAGGGAGAGGATGGCCGCGCCCGATCGGTTCCTCCGGGGTGCCCGCAGGACGAGGCGCCTCGGGTTGGTTATTCTGTTCGTTCTTGCCAAACATGTTCCAGCCCCATTTCTTGGCCACAGAAGTTGCCGTTCCGATCGATATCGATCCCGGACCCTTGTTGTCCGAGGATGCAGACGTAATTGATTTGGTCAGGGTCTCGAAGGTGGTGCGTCGTCGCGCTTTACTACTATTATTCAAGGATGCAGTGGAGCTGCCGCCGGAACCCTTGAGGTTCAGGGATGAATCGCTCGCTTTGTGCTGAATGGAGGAAGACCGCCGGGGCGAGTCATTGCTGAGTTCCCCCACGCTCTCGATGGATTCGACGATCGACGGATCCCGGCTCTGTGCAGCAGCGCCGTCCGGCCCAAGTTGGCTGTCCGCAGGCGGCGAACCGCCGGGCGTCCTGGTCGGCGAGGACGGTGGAGACCGGCTGGAAATTTCGATCATGGTACTGGTGGCGCTACTTTTCTCGTCGTTCTTACCGTCGTACGAAGCTTTGTCGATGTTCACGTTGTCCGCCGTGAGTACCGGGTCGGCAGCATGGGAGAAGGTCTGGGATCGAATCACACGGGGAGGGGAACCGCCAGGTTTCTCGAAGGCGGAAGACAAAGCGCTGGTAGTATGGTGACCCATGTTTTCCTTTATGGACCCTTTGGAGCCCTTGCGAGATTTCAAAGACTCGGAAGACACGGGCTCGGCAAGTGCAGGTGCACTCATTGTACGCTCGTCCTTTGATTTCAGCACGTCGATCGAATCCTCCTTGGGGCCGGTTGTTTCTTGAGGCTGTTCGCCAGATTCATCCGGGATATCTGTCTTGGTCTCGGGCTTGGGGATGTCCCGCTGCCAAATTCCGCCACGGAAACGCTGCGACAAGGTATCCAAGAACGGCACGTCGTCCCAGAAAGGTTGAACGATACTCTCTGCGACCACCTCCCGGATCCGGCTCTCGATCGTACGCAAAATGATGCCGTACGTGATCTGCTTCGAGCTGACGATGGGCTCAATGTCCATCACCATGTTCGGCATGGACTCGAACGAAATCCAGGCACGGTTGCTGGGCGGGGGCTTGAAGCGAATCAACAGGTGGCCCTCAAGCTTTTTCAGCACGACAGCCAGAACGATGTCGACCTCCCTGGCCTTGAACCGTTGGCCCAGGTCGATGCGCACGGTGGCGGAGATTTCCACGCGGAAATTGCCCGTATACTGGACGTCGGTTTCCACGCAGCAATTGCCGTCGACCGTCAAGTCCTTCAGCCTCGGGTTGATGATGAAAGGGGCTCCTTCGCCCATGTCGATCCGTTGCAGGGCGATCCGGCTGATGAAATTCGGTTTGTTGACTCGGGAGATCTTTTTCGTGATCTTCTTTCGAACAAACTCCTCCATTTCAGGTGTCTTGTACATTGCCAGAAACAATCGACCCAACACGGCGTTGATCCACCGAGTCTGCAGCTGTTCCTCGGAGGAATGCAACCGCTGAACCAGGGCAACGATGTGCTTCGTTTCGAAGGATTGATACTTGGGCGGACCGTCCGACGAGTTCCCCATGCGGGCCTGATTCTGAAGCATGGCGAAATAGAAATCCTCCTTCTCCGACAGGTTCTCGGAGAAGAGGTAGAACGGAGGGGTCGGTCCGCCGAGGTCTGCCAGCGATTCCAGCCGTCGCGTGAGTGAGATGGCATTCCTCTTCAGCCACAACTCCCCCTCCTGGATCTCCCCCTCTCCGCCGTAGATACTCACGTCGTGATGGGCGAGGGAGATGACATAGCGCACCTCCACCTGGTGTTCATCGTCATACAGCATCAAGTGGCCGTGCCTGTAAGTATGGCGGCGCTTATCAGCCAAACCCAGGATTGTGGCAAGAACAGAAGGGAGAGGAAGCATACCGCAAGACAATAAAGAAGACATTCCGCGCCCGTTTCCCGTTTCTCCCGTTCGCTTTAGATGGCTCGATGGTGGGGGTTTGCTTGCGGTCGAATAGACTCCGGTACATAGTTTGGTAGACGCTGGGGCTCTCCGCGGCGATCACCTCGCCCGCCGGCGTGGTTCGCTCGGGAGGCTTTCCATTGACTCCACCAGGCACATATTCACGACAGACGGCGAAGTATCCGGCCGCGACGTCGGGCTCGTGGGTGCGATGGAATTTGTCGGCCAATTCATCGGTGCCGGACTTGAGACTGAACTGGTCGTCGGTGGGACGCCGAAGGGGGTCGAGTGGCAGATCGCATGGCTTGTCGGCCGGCGGTGAGGGGGATCGGAGGGTCAAGTACGCATGGAGGAAGAGGAGGAGCAGGACGAGCGGGATGAAGGTGAGTCCCCCAAGGATGTAGACGAACAAAAACTTGGCGAGCAAACCCATTGGGAAGTGGTCGGATCAAAGGTGCAGCAACGAAAGGCCCATCCTGGAGGGAAGGAGGGTGAGACAAAGCAGGAGGTTGGTTGGTTGGTTTGGTTGGTAGGTAGATGTACGGTGTACTCCGCAGTAGGGAAGGCAGATAGATAATGAGCAAGTGGGAAGTTCCAGCTCGAGTACAGCACCAGATGAGACCAGCTCTTCAGAGAGACGGAGAGAGATAGAGAGAGAGAAGGAGAAGGAGAAGGGAGGTAAGGATGACGGGGTCTTGTGCAGCAGCAGCAACAGCAGGTCTGGTCAAGTACCTGGAAGTACCCCGTTCGTACCTCCGATGAGACCGCCCAATGATTTCATGTCGCTGCCGAACCATCCGTCATTTCCGGACCGGAGGAACATCGTCCCGCCGGTTTCTGACCCTGACCGCCCTGTACCATCACGTATCATAGTTTACCATACCGTCCTTCAAGGTGGACAGCAGCCTCGGCCGTACCGCGGAGGTACCCACCAGGTACTCTGTTTGAAACCCGTTGGCAATTCATGATTCATCCCTTTTCTATAGGTAGTTCCTCTATAGCACACACTGTGTAGGTAGCTCTCCTTTCTAGACTATGTACACCCAGACTGAGCTGTTTATCGCGAAATCGCAATTGCACCTCGGACTTCTATACCCTTGATGAGAGAGAGAAGAAAGAAAAGAAAAAGAAAAAAGAAATGGAAACAAGAATTCCCAGTCATCCATCCCGACACAAACCATAACTATCGGACATTGAACAGGGTCAACGTAATAAGGGAAAGTAAACACAGGCACAAACTGGCGCGAATACAATGGTACAAGTAGAAAATAGTGGTGGTACATTGGCATCGTTCGAAGCAAAAAGTGTCAATAGAGGAGAGATGTTTCTCACTCGGATGATAATATCCATGGATCCTGATGCGGTATCCGTCTTTGATGGTGGTTTCGCATATGGTCAGGCACTTCGTCGAGTCGAGTTTACTTCCGTCGGTTCATCGTCTTCTCGCACATCTGCATGAGACCGGCCTTCGCTTCGCTATCGGGGAATCCGCTGATGGCTGCAACGGCCTTATCGGCGTAGTCCTGGGCCAGGGCGCGCGTCTTGCCCACGCCGTCGCTCTGATACACGAGTTCACGGGCCTAAACAAGGAGCGCACTAGATTAGCCTCCCGTAATTTCATGCATCGACCATGCTATTCAAGACAGTCAGGGTCAAAACTTACCCGTTGCACATCGCCCTCCCGGCTGAACTTGCGGCCAACCATCGAGCCCAACTCGGGGTTCTCCTTCCAGGCGAACAGAAGCGGCGCGGTTGCAAGTCCCAGCTCTAGATCCGCTCCGGCAGGTTTGCCCAGCTCGGCGTCGCTGATCGAGTAATCCAACATGTCATCCACAAGCTGGAAGGCCAGACCCAGGTTCCGTCCGTACGAGTACGCGGACTCGACCACCTCGGGCGATCCGTCACCCAGCAGAGCGGCCGCACGGCACGACTTGCTGATCAAGCTGGCCGTCTTCAAGTATGTCTTTTGCAGGTAGTACGAGATGGTTTCGTCGGTGAAAACCGGGTGTTTCTCGTCGGCGGCCGTGTTCTTCAGTTGCATGAACTCTCCCTCGACAAGGTTGGCGATCACGGTGGCCAGCAACTCCGTCACCTCCGGGTCTCTCAGGCGCGCCAGAGCGACGGAAGCCCGGCCCAATAGGAAATCTCCGGCCAGCACCGCCATTTTGTTTCCGAACTGCAGGTTCGCGGAACTGGAGGACCGACGAGTGACCGCATTGTCAATGACGTCGTCGTGAAGAAGCGATGCGGTATGGATCAATTCGGTGATTTCGGCCAGCCGTCGTTGGGTAGGCAGGATGTTCTCGTCGCCGGTAAAGTTGTATTGACCTTCAGTAGACGATACAAGCGGGTTAAGATCAGGGTTCGTATCGGCGAGCACGGTGGAGGAGCTAATGGACTCGTTCACGGTGTTAGAAGTCGCCGAAGTCGCACGGCCATTTCGAGGCGTCAACGCCGTCGCCTGGGACATCAGCAACACCAGCATGGGGCGCATATGTTTTCCCTCGCTCTTGGTGTAGTATTTGGCCACCCTATCTAGTGTAGGATGGCCAGACCCCACCAATTGGCGAATATTTTTGCTCAAAAACTTGAGTTCTTTTCCCACAATTCTCAACGGATCGACCGAGATCCCCGGCGGTGCCTTCGGTAGGCCCTTAAAGATCGTTTGTGCCGCGGAGACTGCGGCCCCAAACGGCGAGGCGGATTTCCGGCGTGTAGGATGATACTTGCGTGTCTGGAGGTTGATTTGGTTCGAGGAGAGATCATTGCGAAGGCATTGCCAGCAAACTAATGTCGAGGGCGGGATTCGTGCAGCAAGCACCAGCCCGGAGGCCGAAACGGCTCGAGCTTTCATATTCCAGCAATGGAACAATTAGGGGGTGGAATGGGTAGATTAGGAAGACATAAGAATGAGGAAGAATACAAGATACAAAAGTATGGTACAGAAAGGGAATGAAGAGAAGCAACGGTGAATGGAGGACGAAAGTTAACTCTGGCAGATCCGAGCGGGTGGACGGCGGAAGTGAGAAGCCGCAAATTATCGACGGCCAAAAGAATTTCGACCGGCGGAGTTGGACTCGGGCCGGAACGGGAAAGCTGGACTGTTTACTTTTCTCTACTTCACCTTCATCCTTCGATTTTCCTCTCTTTTTTATGTCGTCCTTCCCTTTTCTTTTACTTTCTCTCTCTCTTTACTGTTCTTCTCTCAGGATTGGAATGCTGCATTATACAATAAACGAAATTGATGGTGTCCTGGTCTAAGAATATCGACGGAATTCCAAGAAAGCCAGCGGAAGCATCTACAAAAGATTCGGTCCTTCAACATCCAAGGTGAAAAGAACCCAGTATTTGGTTTATATGGGGAACAAAGACATGCAAGACCATGCCGGCAAGCTCAATCCTGCCTTTCCCCCTCAAAGTACACACCCGAACAACAATAAAAAGAAATAGTAACTTGCAGATAACGCACACATACACAGATAAGTCTCCGTTGTCAACCCGTAACTTGAAGGGAGATGGCAGGATCCAGGTTGCTGAGTGATTATGATGATCTTCGTACCGATTAGATGGCATCGAAATCACCCCCAGCATCCTCGTCATCCATGTCTCCTTCCTGGATCTCCTTCGCCAACTCCCGCTCCCGTTCCCGGGCCTCCTGTGCGCTCTTCAACTCGAGACGGTGCTGGTTCATGGGGAATCTCATGGCCTGGGAAAGCAATAGGTCAGTAGGCGTTCGAAGTTGATAAGGGGATCGGTAATAGTAAGAGGGGCCAAGGAGATAGCCTTGGGACTCTTCCAGGACATACCTTGACACTTTCATCGTGGAGAGCCAAGCAGGCCCTGATACGCTCGTGGAATGCCTCACCGGGCTCCCGAGTGGCGTAGATATCACCAACTTCCTTGCTTTTCATGAACCCTCGTTCGTGGTCCAGACTGGCCTCGATGACTCCGTCTCGAATGGCTTTGGCGACAATGTACTCTGCCGACTCTTCACTGTCCAATCCCAATCGAAGACAGATGTCCCGCAGGGAAATGCGGGAGTACGACAGCGACATCATGCGGATACCGGTCTTGATCACATTCTGTCGCAGACGCAGGATGAGCGTGTAGGTGCCATCTTTCCGGAACGTCGCGCTGTGTGTGTTGACGATGTTCAGGAATCCATCCAGGTCACCCACGCTGACGGCCTGCACCAGTAGGAAGTAGGGGTGCATGGCGCGCTCGAGGGCGGCCTGGCGGAAAATTGCTCGGTCGGGAATGTCGCCCATGAGAAGCTCAACCACCACCAGCAACTTGTGAGAGGCTTGGTAGAAGCCACGCGCAACGTGACTCGACGGCGACTTCCGGGTAGCACCGATCAAGTGTCCGTGAGCATCGGTATACTGCAGCTGGATAGCACGGATGCGACCGAGATAGTACAGGTACCGGGCAATCTGATTGTTGGATGCAGCAGCGGGGAAGCGGTTGTGAGAGATGAGCAAGTCTGCCTGTGAAATGTGAGATGTAGACAGGTAGTTACGCAGCAGCAATGTCATCACAGTAGCCTGGGTGTCGACATCCTTGCGAAGCACAGCCGTCCTCAGAGCTCCGAGCAGCGGCTGGCGGATCGAGGTGACTGGGGCGGTAGGAGACGGGGGAAGAGGTACAATCTGCTCAAAGAAGAGAGAGTAGTAAAAGTACACGCGAGCTGCCAGTGAGTCGAGAGTCCGGCGGTTGATGGTCCGCAGACGCTCGATCAGGTTCGTGGAAAACTGGGCGCCCTTCTGAATCTCCTTCCGATCGTATAGGTAGATCTGGACGAGTATAGAGAGATAGGTATCGATCTCGGGCAAGATCTCTTTGGGAGTCGACTTGGTTTTCTCCGAATCGACGGCCATCTTGGAGTTGTCCGCCGATCCAAAAGCACCCGCTTGGTCAATCGCCTCGAGCAAGAAGGATGCTGTGGAGTTGGAGGAGGGATAAGTCTCGACTATGATTTCCGCCAGCACATCGGAAGTGATGTGCTTGCGCATGGACGATATCGATCGCAGAACACGGAGGGTAAATCGAGGATCGAAGTGGGCGACGGCACGCTCGAGGAGTGAGAAGTTGGTCTTGATGTCTGCAGTCAATCGAAACGAGATTGTTATTAGCGCATTTGATTTATTTGCACCCCGGGAGAGGAACAGTCAAGGGGATCATGGGGAAGAACCCACCTTGGATAGCCTTGGTCTTGGGGTCAACCTCCTCGGGCTTCTCATCGCCCTCGGCACCCTCCATCGCGACATCACCTTCCTGGTCCTGGCCTTTATCGCCGGATAGCCTCGAACCCTTGGTGGGGGGCACTACAACAGTCATCTTCTCGTCACCTTGCCGATCCTTACTGGCGTTGAATGAGGATGTAGGCCCACCTGCCGTATCCTCTCCCATCTCCACGTCTTCAGCGCCATTCACGCCATTCTCCGTCGGATCGGAGCCGTTGGTTTGCGGCTGTTCTCGCTGTTCGCCCATCCCGGAGTTGGAGGCGCTGTTGTTCGATGAAGCAGCTTTGGACGACTTGGCCTTGTTGGCAGCGGCGCGGGTAAGCGCGGGCTTGTCCTTGTTGGAGCTTGAGCTCTGCGAGGTAGAGCGACCCTTATCACCGTTAGCAGACGAAGAGGTATCTGACTTGCTGTTCGATCTCAAAGAACGCCTCTCGGCCGGCATATTTTCGATTAGATGTATTGCAGGGGGACTTTTTTTCTTTCTGTCTTTCTTGCTCCCCAACTGCGAGCTCAGCTAAGCAACGAGGACCGCGGGTACCGGAAACAGAAGAAGGGGGAGAGAATTGGAGACCAGAGCACTGGAAACAATCTCAAAGAAGCAAAGGAAGCAAAGTACAATGAGGGGAGAAACACGGGAGGGGGATGAGATGATGGAAAAGATGGGTTGTCTAGAAGGGTTGGGGGTGAAGAGTGATGAGGTGGTGATGTGATGTCAAGGTTGTTGGTTGGTTTGGGAATAAGACGCAAGAGAACCAGCGCAGTGAGGAGCTTAGTCAGGGAGCGGCGAGTTAGGAAGAGCTTACCTCAGGTGAACGGGTCAGCTGCAGACCGGATGGAAAGGACGGGGGGAGCCTCGTCGGTACGGATTGTCGGGGATTGAGAAGCAGAAGGGGAATGGGGACGCGAGTTGTACACCGTAGCGACTCTCTTGCTTGTGCAGAAGTATCCGTTCGGCCGTAGTCGCTGCGGTTGCCACTGCAGAGGGCGAGGGAGAGGGAGAAGAGTCGCCGACGCCGCGAGAAGGTCATGGATCATCCCGGCGGTGCCTGAGGCAGCAGGCAGCTGCCGGCCACCAGGTCTTGGCATTGTTTATCCGTTTGTTCGTCCCTCTCTCTCGTCCTGTTGTCATACTCGGACAGACTCCTCAAACTCGCATTCTTCCCTAGCCATGTCGCTTCTCGACAGTCATCTGGAGCAGATCGCGCTCTCCTCCCAAGCTATTGCAGACCTCCCGTTAGTCTTCCCATCTCATGCGGAGTTTTGCCCTCGTCCCGCTAATCCTCGAACAGATTCCCCCCACCTCGCATCTTCACCAACGCTCTGCTAGGATCCCATGATATTACAGCACTGATTCGCGACACGGAGGCTCATGAGCGAGCCCTCTTCCAGACCGATCCCTCCGTGAAATCCAATCCCGCGCAGCGACGATCCACGCGGCGTGGAACCACATTGCCGTCGGAAGTCGAGAGGGAGTCCATGGCCAGTCGCATCTACTCGGCCAGAAATAATAAAAGCCAATCGGCCGTTGCCAGGGTCCTCGGATCTGACATGATGGAGGAGATCAAGCGATCAACCGGTACCTCCAGCCGGGGAACCCGTAACGAGGTCAGCCTCGATGTACTACTTCGGGGAGCGGAGATCCTCTGCGGTGTTTAGTAAGTGACTTTTGATGCGAGTTCCAGCAGGCTTCAACCTTCCTAACCACCGCATGCAGTCCTGTTCCCGGCGCGCAAGAGAAGATTACCAGCCTCCGCTACCGTCATGAATTGATAACAGAGTCCATCCTTCAATTGGAAGAGCGTGTCGCCAAAAACTCGACTGAACTGGAACAAATGAGCCACTCGTACGGAAATGAGTATGATGACTACGATGCGCCCCCTGCTGCACAACCCGAGACGGCCGACATCACAGACGCCGACATCGAACGCGAGATGGAAGAGATCAGGGAACTAGAAAGAAGGAAAAGAGTCCTGGAGAATCGTGTTCACGGAATGGAGCGCGACTTGGGACAGCTGATGGGGTAGAGGCTAAACCTCGTCAGTCATGGGATCATGGCTGAGACTCTATCAGAAATCAGGGGCGGTCGGCTGATCAGCGCGATAATTCACGTTCTGGTTTCGGCGTTGAAAGAACCACCACGATGCAAGGCTTCTTTGGCCGGCGCTCGACAGCAGTGCACGTGAGCCCCTTGAGCGAAACCCACGCCACCGCAAGGGAGCACACGTCGAGTCTATTATGGATTGCAGACGATAACAAGCTTCGCTCGGCACAGGCGTACACCACTGCGTTCACGGGTCTGTATGCAAGAATCAGTTACACGGCTCTTATTCCCCTCGGTACCCCGGTGCTTGAGGTTCGAGGGAAACGTGGGTTTATTCCTAGCGGAGCCTTCATGGGATGAGTGTGATCTTGGACTTTGCATGATCTTACTTCGTGTTTCATTTGAGAGGCCAATGCCGTACAAGTGACTACTAGCTCAGTGAATCTTGATTTTATGTGGATAAACAATGTGGTGTTGGTAGATGCACACCGAATCCACCTTCAATTGAGAAGACAATGTCTTCAAAGAACAATAGAGATTCGTGAATTACGTTGACCTCAATCTCATTTGTTTGTGATATACTGCGTAGTCCCGATAGACATTATACTAGATGCCTGGATGCCTGATGCCAAGACTGCGGCTCCGCGGCCCATCGATTCCTGCTCGACTCCATCTGCACTCATCAACCTCGCCATCCTTCTCTCTCCCGTTGTCGGGGACAAGCTGTCTTCCATCCAGTCGTGCCTTCCGTCCTTTCATTTGGCCTCGTTCGAAACACGGAAAACCTCAATCGAGAAACTTCTTTCGACGGAACCGGACGCGACTCGCTAGTGCGCCTCCCCAGCCCCCCATCGCGGAAAGTTACCCCAAGTTACTTCTTTTGCTTCTGGGTAGCTTCGTATTAGCCCGTCACTCGACCGTCATTTCCCAACAAACTCGGTCGCTTTCATCACGCCAGGCAGAATATCAGGAAAAATGGACGGCAATCAAGTTCCCGCGCAGGCGCCGCCGCAGCCTATGCCGCAGCATTCGAACCTCATCCGCACCGACCAGGTGCAGAAACTCCCGCATCTAAACGACCAGCAGAAAACCCAACATACCCAGCTGGTGCGCAATTTCTGGGAGGTCCTGAATAGCCGAGATCCGAAGAGCTCCGAATACCAGCACGCCCATACCCGACTCACTCAGATCTCTCAGAATCTGATGAAGGGCATGCGGGCCTTTCAACAGAATCGCCAACTGCAACAGCAGCAGCTTCAGCAGTCGGCGGCGGCGCAGGGCGGCCAGCCGGTCGCCCGTACGCAGTCGGTCAACCCTCAGACGTTTGCCCAGCTTCTCCCTCAAATCCAGCAAAAAGTCAACAGTCTGCACTTTTTCCTTCCTCCGAACATCAGCCACGAGCAGGCGCAGACGTGGCTTCCGGAAGCCAAATTGCGATATGGAATCGCGCTTCAAAAACAGGAGATTGGCCGGGCGCGTGCCAATGACCTACGTCAACAGTTCGCCCAGCGACAGGCATCCGGAAGCTTGTCCCAAGATGATTTGCAGGATTTCAAGACTCGACAGGTAGCGGCGGAGAAGCTCTACCGGGAGGGCGGTGACTTCTTAACCAAATTCAAGGAACAGCAGGAGAACTTCAAAGTGCAGACCCATCGAACGGGGGTCCCAAATACCTCAGCTCCCACGCCAGGTCCCCCGGCTGCTGCGCCGGCTGCCGCACCGAGTGCAGGTCCCATCGGACCAGCAAATCCCCCTAACACGATGCATCCCGGACAAGCGCCAACGCCCGCGCCTCATACCATCACATCTGCGGTGAGCGCTGCCCGTAATCAGGCTGGGCAGGTGTCAATGTCTCCATCCACTTCCCAACAAGGCCAGACGCCTACCGGCCAAGCCCCGGGTCCTGTTCCTGCCATCCAGGGTATCCCTCCGCAGCAACCGCCCCAGCAGCCGCAACCTGTGCAGGCCCAATCACAGCAGGCAACCCCGGCATCGCAGGTCACATTCACTCAAGTGCCTAACCTGGATGGTTCCACACCCACCCCTACAGCCACACAACCAGTGACTGTGCAAGGACCCCCACGCCCTTTGTCCCAGCAGGCTGCGATGGCCCAGGCTGCTCAGAACTATTCCAACAACAACGGCAGTAGCACTCCGCCTAATACGAATATGAACCAGCAACAGCCCATGACGCAAGCTGCGAATAACTCCCACGCTCATCCCCAGGGCTACATCCCCAACCGGTCCACTGAAAATTCCGCACGGAATATCAACATGGCTATTCCCAAGAACTTGAACGTTCCTCCACCTGAGCCAGTCACTATGGCCCCCTCTCGACCAACTTTATCCGGGGGTCCCAGCCACGGTGCGATGGGTATGATGGGCCAGCCTGCGATTCAGAAACACCCTGGTTATGTGCTTGAAGGTGAAGGCCAGCGCGTGCTCAGCAAGAAGATGCTTGATATCTTGGTCCGTCAAGTCACTGGAGGGGGTGAAGGCGAGGGTCTTACACCAGATGCCGAAGAGGTAAGCTACTTTTTTCGGCCTGTGTCTTTACAATCAGCTAATTTGTATTTAGTTTATCATCCAAATGGCTGATGATTTCGTCGACGACGTCATCACCGCCGCCTGTCGTCTCGCTAAACTTCGTCCGTCGTCTACTCTCGAGATGCGTGATATCCAGCTGGTTCTCGAGCGTAATTACAACATGCGCATTTCTGGGTTCTCCACCGATGACCTTCGCACTGTGAAGAAGCCTCAACCCACTCAAGGATGGACTCAAAAGATGTCCGCTATCCAAGCCGCGAAGGTCACCCAAGGCAAAGCCGAATAATCCTCTGTTCTATCAGTTCTTTATGTTTCAATTTTGTTTTCTTCTGGGGACAATTCCTTCAATCAATATACCAGTCAGTGATGGGTTACGCCAGGGTGCAGGTTTTTTTTTTCTTCCATTATCTTTCCTCTTTTTTTTTACTTCGTTCCACTTACTATTCCCCTTGGATCTTGTTTAACAACCCGATCCTCCCCTGATTTCTTCTCCTCAAATTGTCAAGGGAAAACTGGCGTTACTTGGCGTCTATCTTCTTTAAACCGCTTGTTCTATCTATTTCCTACAAATTCCTTTTCATCCACGTGATTCTAAATGATGGTGCGGTCTGTGTGCATGTATTTTGGCGTTTCCTTCTACCTGTCAAGTTCATCTTCTCTTCTAAACTAGTTTATTCGGTCGGTTTCTTGGTTGACCCTGATCATGATACTACTGGCAATGAATGCTACGCTATTATACCTTTCAATATCTACCTACCTTAACTACTTAGATACTAGATACTCACCTTCCTCTTTACCTGTAGAACCTATAATACATACCTATCTACCTTACTTCTACTTCTACTTCTACCTCTACCTCTACCTCTACCTCTACCTCTACTTACTTACCTTTCCATATCTTACCTCATCGTCCCACCGTTAAGTTACCGAGTCCGAGCCCAAGATCAAGAGTAAGAATCAATCCGAAGATAGAATATGCCCAAACAGACAAGACAGATCTCATAACAACATACGTAAACAAGTACATACTTTCCCTCTTCCCTTCCTATTGCTAGTCCTGGCTATATTTCTAGCTAGTCAATATTTCATATCTACACAGTTGGTCTGAATGCTGTTCTTCAAGACTTCATCATCCAGTATCCTTCCTTCCTTCTACCCTTCTACCCTTCTTTCTTCATCCAAGAAGACTAAAACTAAATACCTACGATAAGAAAGAAAAAAAAAAAAAAAAAAAAAAAGGATAAAAAACAAAACAAGAGTATATGGTATCAATTCTCTAAGCAGGTAAGGCAGGTGCAGGTAAGACAGGTAAGGTAAAGCAGGGTAAGGTAAAGACATGCTTTGCTGCGCTGTACTTCTTCTATCAATTGAATCAATCTTCTAAAACAGAAATCAGGCAAGAAAGGATAAGGGAGGTACAAACAGATAAGAGACACAATTCAGAAACATGGACATAATTAAGTCGCTCAAACCTGCTCACGACAAACGATGCTTTCGCTTCTCCCGTTCAAATTATACAACAGAGAATAGAAACAGTAATGCAAGTGGATGGCAAACAATATTCGGGTAGACGAGGTGATGTGAGTAGGTCAGAACGAAGAGGCAAGGAAATGGAATATCAAGACGGAAAACAAAGAAATGTCAAAAGAAAAATATAGAGAAGAGAAAAAAAGTAGAGTGAGTGTGAGTTAGACAAACCAAAAGGAAAGTATAATCAATCAGAGAAGAGAGTGGAATGCGGTCGACGCGTCGACCACTGATATAGAAACTGAGACTCGAAAACAGATAAGGAAATGATAGATGTGACGTATGTAGTACAAGCTAGGGCCGGGACGACACCACTAACCCATGTGGTAAAGAAAGATGTCTCAACAATCAAGGAGATCTACACTCCTTGAAATGTCGAGTAAAATGGCCCTGATAAGGGCACAAACGAAGGGACAGACAAAAAAAGGAAAATAGCGAGTCCCCGCAGGTCCTCCAAAAGATAGTACACAGGATCAAATACTGCTTGCCAGGTTGTATAAAGGGTAACCAGAGAGTGAAAGAAGGTGTTTCGTGGACAGTGTGACGCTTGACCAAGACGAATTCAAAACCAAAGCTGAGAGGGATATCAAGTGGACAGAGATAGATGCCGAGAGGGGCGATAGGTGCGCCCTGGGAGAAAGAGAAAACAAGAACAGCAAGAAACTCACATCAATCGTGGTAACATCAATACTATCACAAGAGTGGTTTCTGAAAGAAACGGGGTGGAGGGAGAAAGATGCATCGCATAATTAAGAAGCCAAGAATCCGGGGCGCCAAAAATATACCGGTGGGCAAGCAGAGCATGACCGGGTACGAGTGGGTATCATGAAAATCGACCAATTGACCATCCTGACAGAAGGATCGAAGATGGTTTTGAGGGTTGGCTTTGGAGGGGAGGACTCGATTCTAAGCCACCGCCTTGCCCTTACCAAATCCAAGATGGTGATGGTGGTGGTGATGGTTCAGGTGATGATTAGGCAGCGGCGGTAGATCTTTTTCTGGTGCTGGCGACGGGCCTCGTCGGCTGTGTTGACTTTGACCTCCAACACTGCTGGCCTCGCCGGCCTCGTCCACAATGGGTAGCGTCGATGCAGGAACGCTGCCGCTGGGGTCACCCGGGTCCCGCACAGTCGACAACGTTCGGGGGTTAGCTATTATCACATCTTTAGCCGCAGCCTCTTTTTCAGCCGCCTGCATTGTCCTTTCAACGGAAGACGAACGCTGTTCAGATACCCGAGACTCCCGGTGGCGCTCGGCCTCCTCCTTCGACATGGTAATACCCTTGATGAACTGGATGAACCGATCTCCGTAACCCATCGGCGGAACTGGCGAGATTTGCGTCCGATCATTGGAAAGTCCCTTGAAGAAATGTTCTAATTTTTTCACGGTGCCATACTGGAAGCAGCGGAAGGCATGATTAGCAATTGATGCACCAGATTTCAGCAGTGGTCAAAACTCACGTGGGTCAGACAATCGATGATCCCCAGGTAGTAGATCTCCTCTCCGGGTTGGCCGTTCTCATGGGTCGCACGGAATCCACCATCATCGGAATAGAAAACATGGAACTTGCGCTCGTCCAGGATCTCCTCAGGCATCTTCGCCGCGGCCTTGTCCAGAGGTACCGGGCGTTCTCGTTTGAGAGACATCCGCAACTCGCGCGCCTTGCGCTCACTCTCCAACTTGGAAGGTGTCCGCATGAGCATGTTGGGGGCTGCCTCTTCTTCGCGGTCACCTCCGGGTGAAAAGACTTGCAGGGTCTTGTCACGGAGCCCCTCCTCGTTTCCGCGTTCGCCATCGTGGATTCCCACCAGAAGAGAATAATCCATGATGCCGAGCCGCTTCAGCAATTCCACATCGCGCTGAAGCTGCGCTAGGAAGAATTCTCGTTTGGACGGGCCGCACTGAAGTTGTCGGTTTCTCCGAACCCAGTTCAAGTCCTTCAGCGTCGCTCTGGGGTTCTTTTCGAGATCCTCTTCGCGCAGGTCACGGCCGATGGTAGATCCTTTCAGATCGAATGTTTGGTGAATATCCCGATGGGGCGGAAAGAGGTTGTTCATCACGACGAAGTGGATCTTCCGGCCATAAGCCATTTTAACGCGGTGGAGGCCGTAGAATTGGGAAATGAGGGTGTTCGGGTTTTGCTCGACGTGCTTGTAGTATTCGGGAAGGATCTTGCGTAATAGTTTGTGTTCCGAATGGTGGATCGTCTTGATGATATACTTGTAATCACGCGAAAAGTAGAAGAAACTTCCACTTTTGCCGGGCGAGCCCAGCTCCGACAGAATATACTTGCTGGTGAGGGACATCAAGTAGTCGGCGGGATCAATGCGGAATTTGTTTCGCAGACTTCGGAAAACCCACGGGGCGTAGTCCTTGAACTTAAAATCGTACTTGGCGGAGGGCGTCAATTCATTACCCGTTCTGTTGTGGATATTATGATTAGCAGAAGAACACAAAGGAAGCAAACCGGGAGGGGTGAAGCAGTCGGCGCATACATGTCGAATGAGAACTTGTGCTTGGCTTCAAAATCAGCCGGCGTTAGTTCCCGTTCCATCTTCGCATTGATCCTCGACACGGTGAAACGAATGCCAGTAAGCATGTTATACGCCGTAACCCAGTTCACATGGTTCTGATCCACCTTCGTTCCGACAATGACGCGGTCGTCATCGTCATCGTCGCGGCGCCTTCGCCTCGAAGCCCTCCTATGTTTGATAGCTTCGGCCCATCGAGCGGCGTCGTCTTCAGGATTCATGTCGTCCGGGAACGTGTCGGAGCGGTTGGTTCGACTGGCCCGGCGGCCAAGGGTGAAGGACGGACGGCGGCCGTTCGTTGTAGGCGATAGGCGGCCACTACTGTAAGCATCTTCGGAGTGGTCTCGGCTACTGCGGCGGCCGCTGGTCGTTCGAGGTACTTGAAGGGTATGACGCTGTCGAAGGCCAGGGTGATTCGGATCCTGCTGAACAGAATTATCCGCGCTCGGCGGCACGGGCGGCGAGGAGTAGCGATGAGATCCTTTTTGCGATGGGGATATTCGGTCGGCGTCCGGCGAAAGGTAGCCGCTATCTTCGGGCTGCGAGGATGACAATCGCGTTCCGTTCACGTTGCCGGTGGTGTCCAAGGAGGCCAGTTCGTCGACGGAGGCGCGGGAATAGTCACCATTCACCATCGACTTGCCGCCGAGCGAACGAGGGCCCAACGACGTGCCGTTGGGCTGATGGCCGGAAACCGAAGTTATCGAGCCGGCACCAGCGCCGACATCAGAGGTGCGCGGGGTGTAATCCCTGTCCGGCGTCATCGAGGGTCGCCCCCCATCTCGAGGGTCTCGAGCGGATCCGTTGCCTAGCGAGTGCATGCTTCCATCTTTCGACTGGGGGAAATCCCGGTGGTAGGAGCTGGCGCTCGATCGGGGCCCATTCAGAGAATAGGCACTGCCATTGGCGAGATGTTGACGGTCGTTCGGGGGGCCGTCGTTGTGGTTAGCGTCTCCGTTGGGCCAGTTGGTCCAGAGAAACGTGTTGCCGACGGGAGCCTTGTCGTGCGGTTTTCCCTGCGGCGAGTCGAAGGGTCGAGGATGAGTGGCCGTGGCCGTGGCGGTGGCTGTTTGGTAGGGGCCGTCGTTCGAGAAGGACGGCATGGTCGCTGGGCTTGCACTCCCGGCGGAGAAGGGTTCAAGGGGGGGAAGGAGCGAGAGAGGAGAGACAAGGAGGGGAAATGCAAACAGCGGCGCGAGACCAGCCTACCAGAGACTTGGTTTTCTTCTCTCTCGGAGTTGAGCGACGAAAGTGATCGGAACGGAAGGGGGTTCGATGGAAAGGACAGCGGTGGGTGACCAATGGCGGACGTTCAAATGCAAGAACAGAGTTCCTGGGTGACGGGCGGAAGTGGCCAGCCGGAGAGGCAGGAAAATTAGCGACCGATAGGCATGGTCCTGTAAAGCGAGAGACGAGAGAGTTGGTAGTCAATCCGGGCCA